TCACTTACATATATTTGGAAGTCCTGTGTACGTTATGTAAAACACCCAAGAAACATCAAAGCTGGATCCAAAATCTAGAAAATGTATTTTCTTAGGGTATGCTAATGGAGTCAAGTGGTACCGACTGTGGGATCCCACTGCCCACAAGGTGATAATCAGCAGAGATGTCATATTTGCGGAAGGCAAAATACAGGAAAAAGGAAATGATAGCACTTCAAAAGAAAAACCAGAGACTACTACAGTCGAAGTTGGAAACGAACGAGAAGATATAGATTCTTCTAAAGCAACACTAGAGCACGAAGAACAAGCTGAATCTAGTACTCCAGATGTTCGATGATCAACTCGGGAGAGAAGAGAACCGGCTTGGCACTCAGAATACATTATGGAGGGCAATGTTGCATACTGCTTACTGACAGAAGATGGAGAGCCATCAACTTTCCATGAGGCTATAAATAGCCAAGAAGTTTCTCTGTGGATGGCTGCAATGCAAGAAGAAATTGAAGCTCTTCATAAGAACAAGACATGGAATCTTGTTCCACTACCACATGGAAGGAAGGCCATTGGGAATAAATGGGTCTATAAGATAAAACGAGATGGCAATGACCAAGTGGAGCGGTATCGTGCGAGACTGATGGTGAAGGGGTATGTTCAGAAAGAAGGTATAGATTTCAATGAAATATTTTCTCCTGTGGTTCGACTCACAACAATTCGAGTAGTCTTGGGGATGTGTGCTACATTTGACCTACACCTAGAGCAGTTAGATGTGAAAACTGCATTTTTTCATGGAGAACTTGAAGAAGAGATTTATATGCTCTAACCAGAAGGTTTTGAAGAAAAAGGAAAAGAGAACTTGGTTTGCAGGTTGAACAAATCTCTATACGGTCTCAAACAGGCGCCAAGGTGTTGGTATAAGAGATTTGATTCCTTCATCATGAGCCTTGGATACAACAAACTTAGTTCAGATCCGTGTGCATACTACATGAGATTTGGTGATAATGATTTCATTATTCTGTTGTTGTATGTTGATGACATGTTGGTAGCAAGCCCCAACAAAGATCGTATTGAAAATTTGAAGGCACAGCTGGCTAGGGAGTTTGAAATGAAGGACTTGGGACCAGCAAACAAGATTCTAGGGATGCAAATTTACCGAGATAGAAATAATAGGAAGATTTGGCTTAATCAGAAGAACTACTTGAAGAAAATCTTGCGTCGCTTCAATATGCAAGATTGTAAGCCAATCTCTACCCCTCTTCCTATTAATTTCAAGTTATCCTCAAGTATGAGTCCTAGCAATGAATCAGAGAAAGTGGAGATGTCTCGAGTACCGTATGCATCAGCAGTGGGTAGCCTGATGTTTGCTATGATCTATATAAGACCAGACATTGCACAAGCAGTGGGAGTGGTTAGTCGATACGTGGCAAATCCTAGTAAAGAGCATTCGAGTACTGTAAAGAGGATCCTGAGATATGTCAAAGGTACCTCAAATGCTACATTATGTTATGGAGGATCAGATTTTGTTGTCAAAGGCTATGTTGATTCAGATTATGCAGGTGATCTTGACAAAAGCAAGTCCACCACAGCATATGTGTTTACTCTTGCTGGAGGAGCTGTAAGCTGGGTTTCGAAACTACAGTCTATCGTGGCTACTTCTACAACGAAGGCAGAATACGTGGCAGCTACACAAGCTAGTAAAGAGGCAATCTGGTTACAAATGTTAATGGAGGAGCTTGGACACAAACAAGAGAAGATTGCTCTATTTTGTGATAGTCAGAGCGCTTTGCATTTGGCAAAAAATCCAGCATTTCATCAGAGGACAAAGCATATTCGAGTCCAGTATCACTTTGTTCGAGAAAAGGTGGAAGAAGGAAGTGTGGATATACAGAAAATCCATACAATGGACAATCTAGCAGATATGTTGACAAAGCCAATCTGTACTGACAAGTTCATATGGTGTCGATCCTCTATGGGCCTAGCAGAAACGTAATGGCATGAAAATGGCAAGTATGGGAAGGATTGAAGTAGTCAACAAAAGTGACTTTAAGTGGGAGAAATGTTGAAAATTAAAGCCACTATTGTTGACTAAAAAAATGACATTTTCCTGCAAGCATTTAATACAACAGGTGGTGGAATTTTCAGCCGCTTTCTTCAGGATTAAGACTCCCACATGCATGGCTATTAATTGCCCAACAAGTCTCCAACATGCAACCTACCATCCTTTTGCATCACCACTTTGTTGGGAGTTTTTGGGCCAAACAGTTTGAGACGGTTGCAGCCAAATTTCTCTATAAATAGAGAACCACCATGCCAAATGAAATAAGCCAGCAAAGAGAGGAAAAAAATAGAGAGAAAAGAAAAGATTAAGTGGAGAGAAAATTGTGAGTAGAGAGATAAAAATAGAGAGAAAAATTATTGTTTCTTCCTAAAGTATTTCCTACTTGGTTTTTCTATTACAAGAGAGATTAATTATTGTTATCTCCTTGTATTTAGAGAGTTGTTGTAATTCTCCTATTACAATAAAATCCTCCTATACTTGCCCGTGGACGTAGCCAAAATTGGGTGAACCACGTAAATACTTGTGTCTATTTTTAGCTGTATTTTCTCAATTTCATTACTTAATAGCTAAAGTCGACCCACGCGTTTTCACCCTAACAATAGGTTTGTGTGGGGTCTTTGAACCAATGCCTGGGTTCGAGGGTCTGCACCCTATAGCAGTGCAATTAACAGGCCGACTCAAGGCAGCCTTACAGACCTTTTCCAATCTTTGGTTCTTTCCTGGGAAACAATTATTTTTGTCATCCACAAAAAGGCCTTGCACTGCGTTGGGTTTGCACATTGGATCCTTGGCCGTAAAGTAGTTAGAAGAGAATGTGAAATTATTCAAATTTGGTAAGCTGCAAACTGTTTCAGGGACATTTCCTCTGAATATGTTGTTTGCAATTTCTAAGGTTTCTACTTGCTGCAGGTACTCCAGACCTTCAGGCAGGTCTCCAATCAACTTGTTACTGCTTAGGTCAATGACCTTTGTGCCGTTCAAAAGTGTAATTTCCTCGGGCAAGCAACCAGAGAAAATATTGTTCGAGAAAAGAACCTCCTCCAATGTGTTTCCCATTTTGCCTAAGCTGGTCGGAATGCATCCAGTGAACTTGTTGTTGGCAATCACAATTACTGAAGCCGGGGAATTGCCAAAGCTTTCAGGGATGTTGGAGTGGAACCGGTTGTTGTTGACAAAAATAGCATCAAGGTCCTTGTGGAAAAGTTCCGGAGGCAATGGCCCTTCAAAACCATTGTACCTTATATCAATGTACTTGAGGGTGGGCAGATCCAATACAACCTTAGGGAAAGGTCCAACGAAGCGATTGTTACTTACATCGAGCTCTTAAAGAAGTTTTAGTTTAGAGATGCTTTGTGGAATTATTCCACAAAACCTGTTGGAATTCAGATGAATAAGGCTAATATCGGCTAAAAGCCCGATTTCAACAGGGAGATGTCCTGCAATGTCCGCATGATTTAAATCGACACCAGCAACAACTGTCGTTTTGGGATTGTCTAGTGCTGGTGCACAGAATACACCTTTGTAGGCACAGACATCAGGGCCATCCCAATTAGCTGTAAAGTTTAATGGATCAGAATAGACGGCTTTCTTCCACGCCTGAAGGCCAATATAAGCTTGTTTGAGCCTTGAATTTTGGAACTTGATATTAACATCAACCTCGAATACCATATCATCGGAAAGGTCACCATCCTCGGGGAGAGACAAAAGCTGGCGGCGCACAATGTATGCTACCTCGCCATCAGTTAAAGCGAGAGACAAGGGAAAAAATGAGAGAAGGGAAATGAAGAGAAAACATGCACAGGCCTTCGGGTTTGCCATTGTTAGTACTCCCTAGGACAAGCCCAAGGCCGCTGATAGTACATATGGACGGGGATAAACGAGGATGTTATATTGATGTTAATGAAAGGATCGGCGGAAAGCTATTTGTGGAGATATAAAATAGGAGCCCCAAATACCTCGGACTCCAAATAATTTATCTTCATCTAGTGAAGACTTGCATCGGAGGTTTTGAATGCATTTCGGAGAGTGATCGGTTGTGCCTTTCTGTCATGGATGTTGAGTTTAGCGCCAATTAACTATAACTTAAGGAAACGATGACTTAGACAGAAACTGTGAACATGTTTTGCATAGATCTAAAGAGATTGTGTTCACAGGAGTAATATAATTTGATAACGGCGATCTGTTTTGATTGTTAAGAATTTACTTGCTTTACATCTTTCAGTACACGTAGTCATGAACTTCAATGAAGAGACGAAAAAATATTCACGTAGCCTACCTCAACTTTATGAGAACAAAGGGGTTTCCAGTTCCTACGTATAGTTACTTCAATTATCTTCTGTGGGGATGTCAGATTTTAACCTGCTGGTAATTGGAAATCTTGGCTGTTTTATATGTATATTCTTTGTCTGAAAATCAGAGCTATGTATATAAAGTGGTTCTGTTTTGATTTGGACTTGTTACTTTTTTGGTAGGAAATCTTAGAAACAAAGATTGGCCTGATGCAGCTGTAAGTCAAGTAGTTTTGTTGATTTAGAATAATATATCCGAATTGCTTGGAGATATACTTCTTGTTTAGTTTTGTTGATCTGAAAAATAACGATTGGATGTATACTATTTGTTTAGTTTCAATTTCGAGTCATCATCCCATTATTCTTGACATTTATTCTCAATTTTCAATTTTATTGCATTTACGTCCTCAGTCAAGTAAAAAGGAGGCTCAAGTGCTCAATATATGATCCAGAATGACGACGGGAAGAGGACAGGGGAGCAGGGGAAAGATGATGATTGAGAGTTGGGAACTCCAATGTCAAGAAAACTTAGATGATAATCAAAACGTTTGTTTAAGTATTGAACCGCGATTTTAGGTACAATTTCTCCCCAAATCTAGCTTGAAGCATAAATATAATACATAACAGAAGATAGCTGCATTGACTAACCATTCAACAGATAAAAAAAAAAACTCACCTTTGCATTGAGTGATATGTAAAAGGCGACATCAAACCCATGCTTGTATAAGTACAAAAATGAGAAGTGTAAAGGAACATAAAATCTATCGTTAAAAATGAACTCATACATAGTACAAAGTAAGTCGTCTAGTAGGATTTCTAGAAAAGGTTCGTAAATGGAGCGGTGAAAGAATCACGAAGATCAGAATACAAGGCATAGAGGGAGTACTGTCGAAGATTTCCCACCTCGTACCACGAGTTAAGCACATTGTCATTCTTGTCCGTGCCAGAGAAAGCCAACTGTATTCCCAGGTCACAAGGCATAGATCCACCATTTGCTTTACATTTTGAATTTGGAATTGCACAATCAGTATTGTTTAGGCAAATAAACGCATCCCCAGTACACGAACCGCACCCAAATTTCTTCCAAAATAAATTTTGGAGAACGCCATCCTTGAATTCAAGAACCTGAGAAACAACATGTTTAATACATTAGCACAGTCCATTGCTGTCATTTTAGGGAAAAAGAAAAGTTTCGCGCACGGTAATTTTACCAGGGTAAAGCTGGTTACAGTGTTAGTGTCATCTGCAACAAAGATAGGAACTGATCGAGCTGCATGTTGTCGTCCAGCAAATGCAACCATATAACCTCCAGCCTTTTTCTGAAAATGTTGGTAAATCATGATAATGTAATCATATTTTTAGATTCGGCCCTTTCTTATGCAGTAACAAGAAAGAAAACTAAGTCGTGTCATTCTTTCAACGCACCAACAATTTTTCTTTCATTTTATTGCTTCGTGAGTATAAAATGAGATAAATCAAAAACCAAAAACAGAGTCCTAGTCATTGATGAACTCGTTTGCCGTTTAGCTGTCAAAATCATTTGTAAAACAATGGTAGAAGTAAAATATACCCGGCCAGCCGTACTTTACATTGATCTCTAGTATATCAATATTTATTATCTTTATTCTTTATTCCTCCAAAAGTGAACAAAGAAAAATGGACATGCTTCAAGAATTTTGTATCATTATTTTAAAATTGATAGACCAGAATATGATTTCCAATCATTTGGTGAATGGTTGGTACGTAGTATTGAATAAAACTAGACAGGATAATGGACAGGATTTTAATTTCTTTTTCTTTCTTAGTCATTTCAGTCCTATCCAATCTTCGTACCAAACATGCCATTTTTGTTTACAAAGAATTCGAACGAATTTAGGAAAGTTAAGGGAGCATACAGGATTGAAGGTGTTGATGGTGAGAAGTGAAATCTCATCAACCTTCGGCCTAAACACAGCAAGTTCAGCACCATGGCCCCCAGAGAGGGAGAGACGACTATCACAAGGGGACAGCTGAGTTTGATTGAAAAAGAAAGAATCCTTCGAAGAAAATGCCAGACCAAATGTAAATCCATCCCATCTTTGAACTTTTGTATCCGAGCAAGGATCAAACACGGGATTAGTGTCTCCAGCACGTGCCACGATCATCAACATCATCATCACCATCAGAGGCGATAATAATATTTGTATTCTCATTGTAGACAAACTCATCTGAGGAAATCTCCTTCACCTTCATCAGAAAATACAAAATATACCATCCCATAACACAATTCATAATGTCAAATAGGTCATTAAATTAATTTCCAGCATAGTTTTATGAAAAATATCTCGGCAGACAATGAGTTCTTCAGTTTTATCTATAAACAACAGGAAAGCAAAAAATAACATCAAGGTATTTGAACAATATATGTAAACGACATTAAAGTTCTGATCATATAATCCTCTATATAGAAAAGAAAACCAGAAGAATATAGAACTGATCCCTGTTAAAATATATCAACATATATAATTTTCTAGGCTCCAAAAATTATTAAAATTTCAAAATATGCCCTAATTCCAAACGTATTGATATAATCATATCCTCCCAATAATATACGCATCGAAATGTGAATTCTTTAAAAAAAAAAAAAAAAAAAAAAAAAAATCTTACCAAAATAATTCAATGCCCCTTTTCTTGATGAATGGATATCCCCCCAAAAAAAAACCCACAAAAAATTGAATTTTTTAAAAAAAAAAAAAAAAAAAAAAAAAAAATCTTACCAAAATAATTCAATGCCCCTTTTCTTGATGAATGGTGTTTCTTGAACTGGCCAAGAACTTTTTCTGCAAATGTTTATATATTTTTGGATTCAATACACAATTAAATTATGAGATATGAAAGGGGGCGAACGGAGAAAACAAAGAATGGGGTTGATTAGGGAGGGTTTTAAAATTATTTAAGAAGGATTTCTTGGTTCTTTATTTTGAGATTAATTTAATATTTGAATCTTGATGAGGTTTCTAGCTTCGGTGTCTCAAAGAACGGAGGAAGAAAATAACAAAAGGAAGGGAACGGTTGATTCGGCCAGCCAGGTGGATCCTGTCCAAGAAACGGTTATGGAAGTTGGCGTTTGCACAAAGAAAACTGAATTTACACCTAAACCCTCATATATTTATCGATTTAACCAAAAAAAAAAAAAAGGAAAAAAAAGAAAGAAAGAAAGAAAAGAAAAGAAAAGAAAGATAACTATATTCACACCAATCTTTTGTTACCCCCACCACATTTTTAGTACAAATTAAGTCATCAATCTTTGCTCATTTTTGCACTCATGTCACCAACTTTTTCCGTCGCTATCACTAACCTTTTATTAGTTAGCGCATTTGTCTTTGAAGACATTTTTGCCAAAAAATATCTATTATGAGAACACACAAAACTTATTTGTCCCTCAAAATTTTAACCAAGGATAAAAAATAAAAAAATTATCAATATATTTATCTTTCGTTTGGAACAAGCTAACGAATTATTTGACAAAAAATTGCCATCAGATATAAATTATTTTAAGGTTGAAGATAAGAATGAGATTACAAAAACTATGTCCTATGGAGCAACCAAATCAGGATATGTTTTCTCTAGATGCTAAGGTGAAATTTGTTCAAGATAACTCTATAAAAAATGGACGATAAATATCTTTCTTGACGGCGATCTGACCCTTTAAAATTTAGCTTTGCTAGGGAATACTTCTTTTGTATAGAGAGCATGAGCAGAAAAGGGGGAGTGAAGATCGATTCTTTTACCATCGTACCAAGCAACCAAATTCTGATTGAAAAATGCAACCAAAACTGATTTAGGGCATAGGATAAACTTTAATTCGTCTAATATTAAGCTTTCATTTCCAACATAGGCCAAGCTCAAAATTCATCAATTGGCTAAGCCCATAGTGCGAAACCATCACATTTGAATTATCGGACAATCAATACATAGAAGTTTTTGCGGTTTTGCATCCAACAAGCAAGTTTTTTAAGGTAATAAACAAACTAAAATTCTATCTGAATTTTTTCATAAAAATAAAAATCAATAGACAACGTTAAACAACCTCGTTCTTGATCACTACAGTAATGTAAGACTAGCAATGGAAAGGGTATTCAGTTTATAAGTGTAAAGAAAAGTCTCATCTTTTAAGCTAGCTTTTGGTGTAAGAGAGGTCCAATACCATCCAACACTAGTATCAGAGCCCGATTTATCAACAAGTCTTTGGCCCAACAGTCACGGAGATACGAGTTTGTATGAGGGGAAAACGAGTTTGCTTTCCCATAGGCCCCATTGTGTGAGAGGGAAACGTGTTTGATCTCCCACAAAGCCCGATGTGTGAGGGGGAGATTGTTAAGGTTGTCCCACATCAATTGTGGATGAAGTTGGTATTCAGTTTATACATAATTCTAAACCATTTATGACCAAAGAAAGAAAGAGAGATTAATGAAAATTGACCAAAAACATTTCATTAACTGAAAGGCTATAAATTGCACCATAACCTTCCGTTTCTCTCTATCCCATCCCATTGCCGTAGATATCCCCCTCTCTTCAAAATTAATACATTTCGGAAACTTTTTTTTTTCTTTCTTTAATCTCCTCCTCAAGTAAAGATCTGGTGAATTGGAGCACGATTCTTCTGTTTTTGGAGCTTCTAGTTGGTTCATTTTTATAGAGGCACTATTTTCTTGATTTGTTTGCTAATGTTTTGTGCAGATTAATATATATCTGGTTAATTTTGTCGTACAGTCTGCCTGATTTTGATTTTTATATGACTATTGTTAAAAAAAGGTATAAGACTATGACTATTAAAACGTTCAGGTATGGTATCTATCATGACTCGATCTTGTGAATTCCTGGAATCTGTTCATTTACATTTTGTATCTAGTTAAATCTTCATTTCACTTGTTGGTTATCATTTGTTTGAAGTGTGGTGACACTGAATTTATTAAAAATTCCTATGATGCTTCATTTTTAAGATGGAAAAAAACATGCATTCGCTTTGGTGATTGATGAAGGAAGTTGAAGCCGAGTCGATGTAAATATCATATATTGTCAGGGTTTAATGCCACCAAGTCGTCTAGTTTCTCTCTAACACCAACTTGATGTAGATATCATAAGTCATTGAAGTGGATCGGATGTGTGAAAGGGTCGGATGCTTACATGCCGTGTCTACTTATCTCTCACAAAAATCTCACCCCTTCATGGGAGTTTTTCAAATAGTGAAGTGCATTGAAGAATAATTTATATTCCTTTCATGATCCTTACCATCCAATCTGACGACGAATAGCTAATATGATACACTTATTTGCTTTAATGGTCGATCAATGACCACTAGATGCCAAATGATCCCTTGGGATGATCTCGTATTTAATGCATTGCCTAGTTGTGTTCGGCATTGCTGCAACATTAAATGAAATCTAGCAGATAAAATCAACATTCTTGTTAATAAAATTAACATAATAAATTACTAACTTTTGCAATTTTAGGTGCAAACTTGATTTCACGTTTTATAAATTTCTTTTATTTTTTACTTTATTTACTTTTGTGTTTAGATCTAGTGCATGGTTGTAGGTCGTATAGAATGTGTGGATAATAAATAGGTACTACAAAATTTATATATAAAATGTATGTTTGACCAACTTAAAAAAATTAAGCTTTGCCAAATATGTACTTAGACCAACTCTCAAAAAGCTAAAAAGAACTAGGTGTATCTATTAATAAATTTCTTGCATTTACCATTTTTTGTTTTCTTTTCACAGTTAAATTTTTTTAAGCTTGTTGAGTTGGATCTTGATTATTCATAAATTGAGTTGCCTGTAGAATTTTTTGCATTCCGTGAGATCAAGATGGCAAAGACAATGGGCTTCTTCAAGTGCTGCGATCCTCAAAACAGCATACAAAGATTGGTAAGTGTATATATATTAATCCTGTTGTTTATAAAGTTTGACGTTACTCCTTCGAAACCAATCCGACAGAATCACCTGAATGTAAAGAATTGATCAACAGGATGTAAACAGCAATTCGAACCCACCGACTTCACGATATTTCCTTAAAACGAATTTGCTGCTTTCAATGGTACTAAAGGCGTCCAGCAATCGTTTTCCAGGATAGAACGAATTTTCGTCTCCTACGGAAGTAGTACTGCAATCTGCAAGAGTTCCAACGAATTCAACGAAGTGTGTTTTATTTCGAGACAATATCAGAACGAGAGAGAAGGAAATGAGATTCAAAGCACAAAAATTTTCAAATGAAAATGGTGTTAATTTTCTGGTAGAGAGACTGGCTATTTATAGACTTGTTCGTAGCCATTCGAACAGTCATCACCTTTCAGATAAATCTCAAAATCCAAATAGACATGCTGTTTTTAAAAGTCGCGTCTATTAAGTCAGTTAACAGTCGGCTGTTTGGTCGGTAAACAGACGACTGTTAAAAGAAAATAAAACACTCGGAATAAGCCAAAATTTAAATTTCTTAATGTACTCAAGAATTTGATTATTTACAATTTGGCCCAAAATTTTAAATAAATTTTGTCCAAAAAGTTAATATAGTGCAAAGGTCCACCCGCACCGAACAAGACTGGACTCGGACTTGGACACAAGCACGTGCTCGTGTCGTGCCAAACCGAGCCGACCGGCCGGTATGACGGACGGATGACGGCGACAGCGCGCACGTGTGGGTTTATGACCGAACCCAATAAGATATAGGTCTTCCCCCTTCCAAAAACTATTGGTGTAACGCCCCAAAATTTTATCAACTTAAAATTTGAGGTGTTACCGATATCATTTCGTAACGTATATATAAAGCGAAAATATTTAATTCGAAGTTTAAAACTCTTGATTTATTTAATACTCAAATACCAAATTGAATAAACAAAATGTCGCGTAAACATAGAACTTTAAACAGAATTAAATTGAAGCACATAATCCTAATAGAATTATTTTAAAACGTTTTCTTGTGAAGTTTTTCTTTACTTGGCAACCCGCGCTCCGCTCAGCCACCATCCACGTTGACCGTACTGATCTGAAATATTGAAATTGAAGGAGTGAGTAATTACACTCAGTAGGATACGTGCGTCCAAACAATATAATAATTTAAAACGTAAACTCATAATATTTAATACCAACATTTCGTCAAGAGCAATCAGTGATCAGTCGAAAGCTCTAATACATTTTGAGAAGACCCGAAGGCGATCTCACATTTCATTTCATTTCGTAGGGACCCGCAGGTCGAACATTTCATTTCATTGGACCCGCAGGTCGATTAGCATTTCATGAAATAAATCATGCATAAAAATCATAATATTGAAAGGACATACACTTGCACATAAAAGTATTATACCTCGATTGATAATAGAAAAGTAAGGAATTCACGTTCCCAAAACTTTTTTTGCTGTTGTTGTGTCTTGTGGATTTAAGGTCGATCCAGTGGCAATTCCACATGCCAAAATCCTTTCTAAGAGTATTAAAACCCGTTTCCGAGAATACAAAGAGACACTTCTGGAATGGAGACTTGGACAGGCAGTGGAGAGTTAAGTGAAGATGGAAGAGAGTGGTTTTTATCTCATAAATTTTCCAGGATTTGGAATGAATTTATAGTGTAAGGGAGGTGTAAAATTAAAAAAGGTTTTGACTGCCAAATTTGTTAAAAATATATAAAGGGTAATTATGCAATCTAACCAACAGAAATCTCGTCAATTAACTCATTAATCTGTCCAATTATAAAAACTCTTTGTTTGGATATCAATCAAATTAAATTAATTAGGATCTATTTAAAATAAGAATGGTCAAGTTAGTGTCAATTTACATAAAATGACAGGTTATCATATCATCATATAAAATGAAATAAATAATTAAATAGTATATTATAAGTTTAATTGGACTATATGCCCAAAATAACTAAATTTGTTAGAGGCCCCAAATCGTGTCTTACCGTTATTCAAATTCAATTAGCAATTAAAATTAGCCTTTATCCTAATTGAGAGTTGGAAATCTGCGTGCACGTGTGGCTACCCATACTCTTATCATAAGGAAATTTACCAATTCTAATTTAAAGGCAATTAACACAATTGAGAGTACAAGGTATGATTGCCATGCATCATGCCTAGAGGTTAGAGATTGTCCAA